GTAAGCTTATTTAGTTCAAGTTGTGAAGGAAATTGTTTATGTGTTTATTCAGAAACTGTTTATTTTTATATCTCTCGTGTTGATGAGAATTGATTTTTACTAATATAATATCAGTCATTAAGATCTGACAAAGCTGTTAACAGGTTTTTTTAAAAATATTTTACAGCTTTTTATCATATGATATATTTTAATTATTTGAATCAGGAAACAGATGACCAATATTGCATGCTGCAGGGTTTACTAACTATTGTCAGGTACCGGTACTGATAACTTGGAATGTCATCTTCCCAATAATAATTTATATTACTAGAATGACTAGCTATGTATTGATTAAAAAGCTGAAGAAAACCACATAATGTTATTATTTTGAAATTTGTTTGAACTAAAGATGTTTTGGTTGAAATTCTGCAGAGGGAAATTTGTTCGAATTTAAAAGAACTGTCATTTTGTAATGTGATATATGACTGATATGTAGAAGATAAAACATTCCTGAATATGGCTTCTTATCAAGTGTTGTAGACAGAAAATAATTATTTCTACATTTATTGTAAATAGAAGGTAATATTACTACTTTTCTAATAGTATGGAAATGTTTAAATTGTATAATAATATGACGCAGTATCTAGCACTGGCAGTTATTCAACACAGAGATGAAAGCTTTGAGGATGGATTTCTTAAATCTGTAACCTCTTATTAAAGTTGTCTCATAAGATTTCTTGATTTGGTTGACCAGCGTTTATAAGTTGTATTGTGATTATTAGTTAATTAAAAATTTGCCAAGCATTCTTCCAATTCCAATGATATTCCTGAAAACTGCAAATGTCTTTCTGGCATGGTAGAGGCTCAGTGTGGTAGTAACAATTATAATTGTTTTTCTACCTGATTTCCTTTCAAGTGATGTATGGGCTGATATTTATAGTTGTTTATAATTGGATATTAAACCTGTAAATATCTCTCCACAGTTGAAAATCAAAAAAGAAACTGCCTATGTCACTTAATGTTACTGTCAATGCAAAATTGCATTAACCCAATCTGTTAATATATTATCCATGGGCTGGGCTTTGTAGGTGTAAGCTTTCTTATGAGCAATGAGACAGTGTAATAAAGAAATCAAACGATTTGCAGATTCTGTCATTAAAGTACCGGAGGAGTTTTGTTAGTTTGGAATTCTAGCCTACAAATGCAGAACCTTTTCTGGCAGGTCAACTTAGTATTTTAGGAAACAATTTCATGCTGGTTTAAAATTTGATGTTATAATTTTAGTACTAGGCATGTAAGGTATGTACTGTGCCATTGTGATTAAATAAACTAGCCATTACTCAAGTGCTTTAAACAAGTTTCTAACACTATTATCACCTACCTATTCAACTCTTTATTCACAAAGGTAGAAAAAAGCTACTATCTAGATCTATTCTTATTTTGTTGACCTGTGAGTTTTTCTTTCAAAAGGTAGAAAAGTTTAAGATGTCCAAGTAGAGTGTAAGATCACATTTCTTCTTTTATTATACTGTTTACATCTCTATCTTATATCATCTATTGTTATTTGACAAGTGGACTTAGTAAGTAGGCATACTTTCTTTTTGGATCATATGTGTATCAAGTCTGTTTAAAATTTTCCAGGAGACATTGCATTCAGAGAGTCCACATAGCAAGAATTGATATAGTTGATTTGATATTACATTCAGAGAGTCCACATAGTAAGAATTGATATAGTTGATTTGATATTACATTCAGAGAGTCCACATAGTAAGAATTGATATATTTGATTTGATATTGCATTCAGAGAGTCCACATAGTAAGAATTGTCAGATATAGTTGATTTGATATTGCATTCAGAGAGTCCACATAGTAAGAATTGTCAGATATAGTTGATTTGATATTGCATTCAGAGAGTCCACATAGTAAGAATTATCAGATATAGTTGATTTGATATTGCATTCAGAGAGTTCACACATCAATATAGTTATGTAGATCTTATTGATTAAATTCAGGCATTATATTTTAATGTTGTGGAAAGCGTGTAGTTGAGATCAGGGCATATTAACTACTGGTTATCATTTGATTTTACTCTACTTCACTTTCAGATGTTAGTTGAATATAAGTAAGTGTTCTACAGAAAATGTGAAGTATGCCATTGCTGTTAATAGCATTCTTGTTTTATAATATAAACAGAGAGAATATCAATAGTTGGGTACTGCTCTATGCATACTACCTATTACATGTGAACAGTTGCTATTATTATCACACTTTCTATAAGCTTATCTTGCTATTAAAGTAGATTAGGCCAGACCAAATTATTTTCTTGATTTAAGGATCCCTTTTACCTCAATTTTCCAGAAATCAGAATGAAAAAATAAAAAATTCAGCACCTCTGGAAAAAAACAACCTTCATTTTTGATGAAAAAAAATCATTATCAGAAACTCTTATTATTACTAAAAAATATGATGGGAAAATAGATAAAAAAATCTAGGTCAAACCTGGCTCAGTCCTTCACAAAATATTTTTCTTTTTTCTACTTTTTTTCCCCTTTTTTTTTCTTCCATTGCCTTAAAAAATCTGTAAAACAAAATAAGTTGGCATTGCCTTATTCTACTATTATAAAAGGTGTTATATTGTAGATAATGTACAGTCTTGTAATACAATAATCTATGTAGATTGTTCAAGTGTAATTTATCTCAGATTTTAATTATTTATTACACTTGTCTATTTGATGGTCAGATTTTTATGTTCAGGTCAGGGCCCTTGGGGTTGAAATTGTCATTGTCTGTTAGTGCATGGGTGAACATCACAAAGATGTAAGCCATATTGAGATTATTCAGTGGAAAATTATGCTGTAAAATGCATTTGGGAAAGTAGGAGAGTAATACGTTTTATGGTAAAATATGTTCAAAATTGCATTTTTATGAGTATGCTAATGTGGTAAGTGGTAGGTGGCTTAGTAAATTGTCAAATTGTATGCTTGGATAAATTTTGTTATTCTAGAAATATTTTATCTTTTTTGTAAAGGGATAGATTTTCTAAAATTATCTGTTTACTTTTTTCCTGTTCAATGGCATGTATTATGAAAATTATGATATCTAATGTGCAAGATTATTTTTTGGTCTGCAGTTAAACTGTTAAAAAACTACTGAGGTAAGCTTATAATTTACGATGTTTTTGATAATGAAAATATTGGACAAAAAAAGCAGAATGCCCCTTTAAGTCATTAATCTGGTGGTAAAGTTCATAAACCTTGTTTACTATCTCTTTGACCATTTGATCCTTGATTAATAGAATTTCATATCTTAGCTTATCAGGATTAGGATAAGCCTGTTTATTTCTGATCAGTCAACAAGATTATCATACCATCAGCCTTATAAATTAGGGTGGGGCTGCAAAGATCTGTTTCAATTTATTTCCCATTCATGAAATCTTTCAAGTTTGATTTGCTAATTTTGTGTCCTGATTTCTGTATTGAGTTTCTAAACTCAGTATTAAGGGTTTACATGGAAAAGATTTAAAAGGCCTCTTAATCAAAGTTACGTTCAATAGAGCTGAGTTCTTGCATGCCTTAAAGGAATTGCAGATTTCTAAATTTGTTATTTGTATCAGGGTCCATACTGATAGCATCATTTTGCACCATTCTGCACCATTCAGATTTTGGATGTCTGTGATTCTGAAATTCCACTAAAACTAAGTGTTTGATCACGTCACTAACTGCAAAATATGCTTTGTCTAATATCACATAAGGCCTTTTGTGATAAGTGATGTCACTAAGTGTTTGATGACATCACTAATTGCACAATATGCTTTATCGCATAAGGCCTTTCACGATTAGTGAGGTCATCAAACACCTTATTTTAGAGAAATTGCAAGAATCACAGATGTTTGATCCACAAATATTTCGTTTTTGATAATTAGTCTTCTGCCAACTGACTGGACATTGTATGTGTGCTGTCGGTAAGATTGGACAATAAACAGAGGCCTTGTGTGCTACAGGCTTTGCCCATATTCATCAGCCCACTTGGTGAAGAAAAGTAGGACATAAATTAACAGGGGAGAAGTTAGAACATGCCATTTATATTAGCCATATTTTAGCTAGAGTGAATAGATTTATATAAGATTGAATGTTGACTTACATAATTCAGTTCTAATCTAATGTCCAATTTCTTCAGCTTAATAATCTTATCCTTACACTTTAATCAGTATTAGAAGGAATTAATTAGGATAGAAGATATTCTCTCTCAAATCAAGTCAATGGACAAAGTTTATATATAATGAAATCTCCAACTGTGATTGTATTGATTACTGAGTTTTATTAAAACTTTCTTTGAGCTGACAAGAAATGAATTTGAGTCGGTGGTTAGTACCAAAATGACTATTTAATCAGTCTAGACTTGTCATATGTCATACTGTGTACTTAAATTATCAGTGTTAGTGTTTACTTGTAAACTACAGTTGTACATCTTTGTAAACACCTTGTCAACATGAAACACAGTTGGTCAAAGTGTTAAAGGTAATGGCAGACAATGCTAATGAATTATTTTGTGGTGTATAGTGTTATAGGATAAGTTTTGGTTTTGGAGAAATTTGTTTGGGATTTGGTAAATGGTTGAATAAGCTTATGTAAGCTTATACAATCTATGTCTGTGTCTAAAGTCTATTTTGCACTAGATTGAACTGATGGCATAATTATTTTAGAAAGTTGCCAAATGTAGCATCAATTCAAAATTTAGAATGTTCAGAGCTTAAAAGAAGTGTTATTAAGTTTAAACATTACAATCTTGATTTATGAACTGCAGCTTGAGGGCTGGCTCAGTTGTAAAATGAAATCAGTTTTTTTGCTAGAAACTCAAAACGTGACTTTAAGCCATTACTTTATTTAGTTTATGTGTCTTTTCAGGATTTTATACTGGTTTTAAAGTAATGATGTGATGGTATTGTTTAAATATGTAAGGAGGAGTTGACCATACCTAAAAATATACCAGGAGATAGAAACAGTACATCACCACAACACAATATGAGTTGGTTTAAACGTAACAGAGGTAGTAACAGCTCAAACGAGCCATCACCATCCAAAGATAGAAGCAACACAGATCCAGATACCTGTTTAGATGTGTTCCGTAGTCATTGGCAACAAGCGTCTGCCATAATTAATAATAAGAGCCGTAATAAAGATGACTTTTCAAGTGATGAGGTAGAAATAGTCATTCATAACATCGGTCAGATGGTCACTCTGCTGGTCAGCGAGGATGGAGAAGAAGGAATGCCTGGTCCTATTTTAAATTTTTTCCTGGAAAAAGATATTTTAGAACTCTTCTGTTCATGGTGTTCACGTTCGAAAGAACATGCCGTAAAATTAAAACACGAACAGTTAAGAATGTTTGAAATGTTAATTAGCCAATCAAAACAGTTGTTATTAATACACAAGTCAGTGATTCGTCCATTAGTAAAATTATTATCAGCCTGTACAGACGGCAACCTTCAATCATCGGAAACGTATGATATCGAACATCGTTTGGTTTTAGTTCTACATCAAGCATGTGTGTGTATTTCACAACAGTTTTTAATTTTAGAAAGTTTTTTCTGTACTAACACAGACCATGGTCCGACGAGATTTCTCTTATTCTCCCTCCTTATACCCTACATACATCGAGAAGGTCCAGTTGGTCAACATGCCAGAGATGCCTTATTGTTAATTATGACAATGTCCACTAAACATCCTCATATAGGACAATATATAGCAAGCAACTCTGATTTCTGTCCTGTAAGTATTTTAACATCTTGATTGAAGTTTATATAGTCATTTGTCTGTCATGATACAATTACATTCTTTAGGACACAATGATCTAGTGATTGCTGCATATTATTTTGGGTTTCAAATTAAGCTTGTGGCCTGAATACGAAAGTGTTTGAAAAACATTCATGTCCAAAGTCATAGCACCACAATGGTTGACTGTTGATGTTGCCCCCAAATCACTAGAGAGCTGGTAAACCTGAAAGTAAAAGAATCTGGGATTTTTGATCACTTGATTTATTGTCCATGTTTTGTTGTCTTTTTCTCAAATGGTTAACTTTCAGAGGCTTTTAACATTCAATTTATTGATACAATTACAGTATTTGAAAACTATATTTTGGTGAATTAATCTCCTGATTAAGATGACACTTTGCTGTTCTAGGTGCTAGCTGCTGGTTTAAGTGGATTATATTCATCATTACCAAGAAAGATACCCAACCCTTCTGAAAATTGGTATATGTTAACTAATGATGATTGTTTAGCTATACCAGAGTTACAGATGTTTTTAAATTCACTAGAATTCTGTAATGCTGTTGTCCAGGTACAGTAGTTAATCTATTGTTTGAGAATAGTTGTGTTTGTCGTAAGCTTAAAGACTTGGTGAATGAAGTTTATTCCCTAATGAGCTTATCTACAGATTCAAAATGTTGTAGGTCCCACCATAGGAAATAAAGCTCCAGTTCATTTCAATTAATTTCATTTGTTCTCTACATTATGCTTGTGGGAGCTCAATGAGTTAGATGTTTGCTTGCTAACCTGAAGGTCCAGGGTTCAGTCCCGAAATAGGTCGAAAAAAAAACCTTCGGATTTTTCAACCCGGTTTCCTCCTGTCAGTGAAGCAGGTAGAGGGGCTGACATGGAAAAAGCATTTAGTCGTTAGGATGGGACAATAATCCTCGACTGTTGGAAATCGAAAACGAGCAGGCAAATGCCGCTGTCCTGGCAAAATTTCCCTCATTGCATTTCATGTTCGTGAAGGTGGTAGGCTTATCATACTTTGATAATTTGCTCCAGAATTTAAGCATTTCTGGATTTATTTTTGTCTGGTGAGCATTAATACTTCAAAATTTCCAGTGACATTCTACTAAATATAGCATGCCTAGAAAAGAAATTATTACTCTTTTTTTCTATTTGATATTTCAGATTGCCCATCCAATGGTGAAAGAACAACTGACAAAATATATTTATGATGGATTTTTACTGCCTGTTTTAGGTCCTGCACTACATCAGGTAATTTGGTCTTTAATCTATCTGATTAATCAGCTTATCTTGTAGCTCTGTGTTGGCTTTCAGAACACTTAACAACATTATTTCACTATTGCTAACCAAATGGTTTGTGATGGTGTATCTCAATCAAAGATATAAAACATTAAATAGGAATGGTGCAAATAAACACTAAAAGTGTCCAAAATACATATATAAAACTTTCGAGTCAAAATGTGTATCCTATTATGATATGATTTGTAACTTTGAGAGTATATTGACTGTCTATTTCAAATTGACAGTAGATGGATATTGATTTTGGAAAGTATTCTAGATGATGCAGCTTTGCTTAGAAATAAATGCTTTTACTTTCTTTAATGTAGGAATTAGATGAGTCGGCAAGTACACTGTGCACACAAATATAATCTATACTGATAGGTATTAAAGTGGCTGTGTGGGCTATGTTTGTTTTTGTTTGATGTCATGATTCGAAAAAGAGTTCAACATGGTACTAAGTGAACAAATTGTAAATGGCTTATGGAGGAACTTAAAGTGATGTCACATTTGTGACTAGATGACCCTTACTAAATTTTGTTGGCAGTTATCTATAAGCATAGACCACACAGTCACTTTAATGACAGTTTTCTTGATTTGAAACCATTTAGGACATTAAAGGAAATTTTCAGCAATAATAATGAAGTCTTAAAAGCGAAATGTGTGAACACATTTTCAACAAGAGAAAAGGATTATGTTGCAGTTTACAATTTTGTAGCCTTGTGGAAACAGTGAGAAAGGCAAAATCTGGAATCAAATTCTTGTTTTTTGTCTGAAAATCCTCAACATTGAATATCTATGCTGAAAATTTCTTTCAATGTCAAAATGGAAAATATTTAGCCATTGAAACTTTCTTTCAATGGAATAGGCAATATATTTAACTAGGCTAGACAGGCTAGAGTATATATATTCATATTTTTCTTCTTGGTTTCTTCAGTAACTTTGTCTTATGATCTAATCTAGACCAGGGATTTTCAACCTGGGGATAATTTTTTTTGGGGGAGAGGGAGAGGGAAATGACGGGGGCTCATCAGTGGACTAACCTGGTGTCATAACCCTGAATGCTTAGCAACATGTTTCAAAAATTATTTAGTTTAATGGATATAATATATAACATCTTATATAGAGATTATATTCTTTAGTCATGGCATCTGGTTAGTCCAACTGATGAATATATACACTTGTTGACCAAGAGACTTTAAATTTTATGTGTATTCCTTAAATATAAAAAGATTGCATGGCAAACTTAAGAGAAAATCACAAAATAGTAGGCTTACTGATTTACATGGGAAGGGAGGTAAAGCAATTGATGAAGGATCCTGAAAGGGGTAATAGAAAGAAAAAGGTTGGAAACTCCTGTTCTAGATGGTCCCTGAACTCTTATCAACAATGGTAAATAATAAGTTGGGTTTCTGTATAATTTATTATAATATTCTCTATAATGTATATATTTTATGAATATTTCTTACTAGGATATCAGTGGTTTACCAATACCTCTATTAGATACAACTATGTTTTCGGTCAGTAACTAACTCACTCTTGACCTTTATATTGTTTTAGATCTTTCTATTAGTCTGACAGTGATGTGGATTGGCTTTACTTCTACCTTTTATTTATTGTTAGCTTTGTTTCTTAACCCTTACCGCTTTCATTCTACCTTTCACTAGCACCAGTTTTAATAAGCACTCTTCCTAAAGAGTTTCAATTTTTGTACCATTTTCAAAACTTTGTCATCAGGCATTGGGATACATCAAATTTCATTTTAATTAAATATCCATTCTGAAAGATTAAACTTGTGCAAAAAGAAAAAATCTAATAAAGGTTGTAAAATATATCTAAAGCAGTGTTGCGAAAGCACAGACACAGGATGTATAAGCTGCCCAGAGTTTGCTCCAGAAATAGTACTTTTTGTCAATCCAGTTTTCCCTGTCATTGATGCATGTTGGAGGAGCTTACATATGTGACAATAAACCTCAGATATATATGTTAAAGGTCTCTTGATTGTGGTAATCAAGAATGCAAATTTTCATTATTGTCATCATTTCATTAGCCTAATCATGGTACAGGAAAAAAATGTTAAAGCTCCATTTTGTTTATTATTCATTCGCCAGAAGTTTGAGGTTAAAAACTTTTCATCTGCTAAAACAATGGGAGATATTTGGTGGGTCAAATCTTGGTATATTTTTTTTTGAACATCTTGCTTTTGTGGCTTTATTGAAAGAGTAATTTAAGCCATTTATTTGATCAAATGTGAAATAATTTAGTGGTGTGCTGAGTTTATTGAGAAACTTGTTTGTTTCAAGAATTGAATGAAAGAAATTGTCTTTGAAAATGATATCACATTCTCTTTTCACCTGATGATGACAATGTAGATTGTTGAAAAGTGGTATGCAATAAAACTAAGGAGTAGTATACCATAAAATTATATTCTGCTATTAATATAGTTATCAGCTGATTGATTTTAACTTCCATTAAAGAATAACTAGTTAGGTTATTGATATACAATTGATATCTTAAGCAGAAGCCAAATTTTCATGTTGGAAAGTGATACAGATATTTATGATTGCATAATCAAAACTCTTTGATGACTGTATATCTAATAGATCTCTCTCTGCAAGGGTTTCAATTTTGTGTAAAAAATGTTTGTTACATGTGTTTCATACTGACCTCTGCTTTAAACTTGAATCTTTATTTTTTAAAGTTAACCATTCATGTGCTTGTCATGTGACTCCAATTTTTCTTGTGTATTATGATGTTGTGAATAACATGTTTGTATTTTTTAGAAGTTTGTAAGTTATATTTGTCTCTAATTATTTGCAGCTTAGGGATTTCATCCATTTAGCTTCAGGTTCTGTTTTGATTTTAAGTAAAAAAAGGCCATAAGCTCATAGAATTTGTTAATATTAAGTATCGTATTATAATGTTGAATTATCTTTCTAAAAAGAGATACTGATGGTTAAGAATAAATTCTATAGGATCACTAGATATCTTCTCTCTAGATTTATACCACTATCTCAATCTATTGACCAAAGTCAAAATGATTAATGAGACAGCCATCTTGGATTGATGTTTAAATATGAAAATTATGAATGCAAGAGTTTGGTGCCTGTAGAAAGAGTTAACAGTTTTTCTCCATTGCAATGCAGCCTTATGTACACATGTTGAATTTGTTTGCTTTCTTTTTGCTTAGTTAATTATTTTTGGTATTTGTGCATTAAACCTTAAACAGCTTTTGATTTTTTGGATATAATTTCAATTGTAATTAAGTACATCATATTTGTTGACATTCTTTGGATTGAGATTTTAAAGTGATGAAGGGGTCATCTATTTTTTTTCATCCACGAAAGTAACCGTGATTAGGTATAGATAATCAAGAAAAGAAGATTTCCTTAAGACCTGCTGGTAGACGTGAATGTAATAAATGTATACCGGTATTGAAATCTAATGACTCTATATATTAAGATCAGGCACAATCCTAGCGAAATTTCCCTCATTGCACACCACATTAACCCAACCAATCAACAACAGAGTCTAGAATGTGATTTATTTTATTTCAGAATTCCCGAGATGAAGTTACAACAGCTACTGCCTATTTAGATCTATTTTTACGAAGATTAACAGAACCAGCTTTAATTCGTGTATTTTTACTCTTTATATTGACTGAGAGAAACGATGAAATTATTATATTAGATTCTTTAATAACACGAATTAACTCTAGCTCTAGGGTAAGATTTATTTTTAAGATTTGTTATGTTTAGATTGATCAATAATTGATGAATTATTTCATTTGGACACATTATCGTATTACCATTGGCAAGGAAAATGGAGATATGCCTTTAACTGAATGCAGTAGTTTGAGTCTGAGTTAGAAATTCACCCTTCTGAATGAGAGATAACATATATTATCATGTTATTGTGGTCTGGTTACAAATCCTCTTGCGGCATTTGCGGCATAAAGGGTTAACTCTTCCTGGAATTGCAGGAACCACAGGAATCAGACGAAGAATTTGAATGTCCCAAATAGATGTCAAAGGTGTCCCCAATACACATAAGAAGGCTAGAAAAACCTGTTTACAATCCCTTTATTGCTGAAGGTGATTCAGAAGTCTTTAGTTATGTCTATTCGCAGAAAAATTTGACTTTAATATGATATCGGATTAGAAATTATCATTTGACATCACTTGCAACATTCAAATGAAGGACTATAGTCAGAGTGAGAATTGCATGGATGCAATAAAAGCCTTTTAGTGTGCCTCAAACATATGCAAAAGCTACAAAATCTCTTTTGAATTGCTCATTTGGTAGAACCATGATTTGTATAAGGAAACTGTATTAGTATGTATATTGTAGTTATCATTGGTATCACTAGCTCTATTTAAAACATTGGTAGAATTACACTGTGAAGATGTTATGTTTCAACTTGTTTTCAAGTAAGTTTCTATTGTTTTTCTCCACACTCTTGTTTTTGATCTAAGGTTCATATGGTCATATTTGAATATGAATTGATGGATTTAGTCAAGCATGTTGGGAAGAAAGGCTGAGATGGAGAACTAGAAATATTTTTCAGTTGTCATGAAGGATCTTAGCTTGGTGTAGGCTTACATTTTAAGGATTCTTCAACTCTGGAAGGGAAAAAAGTCTATGGTGAAATGGTGAAATTGCCCTCATTGCACACTTCTTTGCTGTTGTTTTTTTGTCCCAAAAAGGTATATACTTCATTTCACTTCAAAATATGTTTTTTTTTCAGATATTTGATTCCCTGTACTCATGTAATGGTGAGTCAAAGAAGAGCTGTAAAAGATTTAGATATGTATAGTAAAAGTGCTGAAAGATTTCTATCATTACGGCCATCTTGTTGCCTAGGTGATACTGATAATAGTATGCATAATACAACAGTTACTACTAGCCAATCTCTTATTGAAACCAGGTTTGTTTTCTTCATATGTTAACCTTCAACGTACCCTTTCTCTGTCACTTTTAGATTTAACAAGGGTTGACCAGACTATTACACCCTTGATCCGTCATCAAAATGTTCAAGCTATTACAAACTTTGTCTGACACCTTGGAGTATTCTTGGAGGTTTGTAAATGCAATGATTTAATTGGGTGGTATGTTAGTGAATAAAACCAATCAGAGCCCTCAACAGATTGTCTTTAAATAACAAGTCATAATGTTTATATAGTTTTTCTGTCAAGGTCTCTGATTGGCTGTATTTGTTGGCATTCAGTCCAATCAAATTGCTGTATTCAATGATACTAAAACAAAGCTTGTTATAGCTTGACCATTGAGAAGATGTTGATCCAGATGATAATTGTCTCTGATTTAGTCTCCTTTGTGCGTATGTCATTCTTTTTCCAAAAATAATTTATCTGCTTTGAATAGCAACCTTACATGTACTCAAATGCACCAATTTGATATTTGTAGCTTGTTCACCTGATATCACTTCATTCTAAATATCTTGTTCAAATCTAACTGCATGATTACAAAATTAGAATTTAAGAATCACTACTGTTTACAGTATATGTCTGTAAATGTATTTATGCAATCATGTAAAAATTTAAAATGAGCACCCTTAGTTACCTTAATCTAACACCCTTAGCAACCAGAATTATTATCTTTCATTGACTTAGTATATTTCTAATCTTCAGGGCTGTCTATTTGAAAAATAAGATTTTTTTTTGCTAAATTTATTAAATTTTAGAAATAATGCTATCAATAAGCACAGTAATATTCCAAAAGAAACATCTAATTAATTGTGGATGGGCAAAATCTTCAAATCTAAAGCCCTGTCAAGCTTCAAAAACATCTGCCTCTATTCCAGCCTCTGATAGCTATTTTGACAGGGCCTAGCTTTTCTGGCTTTACTTTTCAAAATAGCTATAAGGGTTTGGAATAGAGGCAGATGTTTCAGACCATGTCAAGCTTTGAATGCTGAATGTTGAATCTTTTTCTAATGCTTTTGATATTGTCACTTCTAGAAACTGAAACATGCAAACATATTCTACATCAATTAATTGTTGAACATGTTTGTTTTTGTAATCTGATTTATACACATTGACTAAACTTTTCTGAAAATTTGAAGTCAGTTCTTAAGTATTGGATCTACTAACCTACTGATTAGACAATGTGTCCTTGCTTTATTTCTAACTTCTGTTTCATTTCTAATCAATTAATGTTGTAATCTTGTAATGTGTTCTGTCTGTAGATTGGGTAGGGGAGGAAACTCTCACCACTTGAAATCACCCTCTGTGGTTAAGGGGGATATGTCTCATCCACTCAATTCACCTTCTGCTAATACTGTAACACAGTCTCGTTTGAGTAGTTTCACTAGCTTCTTTAGACGAGGAAGCACCAACAAATTACGTAGAAGTCAAAGCATGGCTGTTTCTTCAGGAGTGTAAGTCACATCAAATCACTTTTTGGTTTTGAATTTCCAAATTTTGCATGATTTTGAACATCACATTTTGCATGAATGAATGTTGTTTTGCTAACATGCATGCCATTTTCCTTTCGCATGTAAACAACGTTGAAATATTTTCCCTTACTATTTGTAATTGTCTACTGTTAAAGTTATACTACCTTTTAGAATGACCAAAAAATTTACATTTTTTAACCTGGTTAAAATGAGTCTTTGTTCATCATTGGACTATACAACAGAATCCCTCTATATAATCCAATAAGTAATAACTAAGTAAGTTTCATGGCACCTGGTAAGTCCAACTGATGAATATATACACTTATTAACCAAGTTTGAGACTTCAATTTTATGTTCATTTTAAGAGGTAGCATACCTTTAAGGCAGATTCCAAACGTCAACATTTCATCTTGTCAAATTCTCTTAAATAATTGGTTCTTCCTTGTTAAGCTTATGGTAGTGGTTTGGTTAATGTATAGAAATATTTGGTTTATGAATTTCGACTGATTATTTGTAGAATCGATGTTATGTAAGTGCAATGTTATTTGTAGGAATAAGGGAAGTTCTAAGAATGACTCCACACTTCATGCAGAAGACGTTAAGAATTCTGAGACAAGTTACATGGAATATCTGCATGATGCTCAGAATAAATTAGAAAAATGTGCCATAGATTGTAAATGTTGGTCAGCTCCTTATAATGGTGAAAATCCATCTCCTGATAGCTTGATGGATTCTGCAGCAGAGCATTCTAAAGAGAATGAGAATACTAACCAATCAGAGAACAGCTCTCAGTTAGCAGACGTGTCCAATGAAACTTTAGATTCAACCACCACAAATGAAGATAGCAGGCCTTATCCACAAGTCAAGTTATTTGAGCAAGAAATTGAGAATTTGGCCATGAAAAAGTTTGAAAATGATAGTTTGTTTTATTCTCAGGGTAAAAAGTGTGATTTTAATAAGAATGACTCACATAGTCTGTTAGACTGTGACTCAACTCTTAGTTCTGAACAGTGCAATAGTTTTTTTGGTACAAGTGACAACACAAGTCTTTCAAATCTTTATTGTAGTTTAAAAAGTCGCGATTGCTTTCTGACATTTCTGAATATTATTGATGATTCTAAGAGTGATGACTCAGTGGAACAAACTATGGAAACAATAGATTTTATGTATTCATCATTTGGAGTGCCTTTAAATCGTGGAGCAGCTGAGTTAGGAGATAGTATTGAAATGGAAAGTCCAGCTCAGTCACCAGAGGAACCAAGAGCAGTAAGTCCTCAGATTATAAACAGCACACCATATGAGATGATTGAGGTATCAACTAACAACTTCAACCCAGAAACTACTAGTACACCAAGTGGTAATAGGTTAAAGGATATATCAAGCTATGTTGAAATTACCATATCAGGTGACAATAAATCAACCAATGATATTACAAAGATTCAACCCAAGTCTGCTGTACCTAATCGTGCTATGAGTCCAGTGATGGATGGAACTCTGTCACCATTTAATTTTAATAAAACTAGTGAAGATATATCATTTAGTTTAGCTCAGAGTCCTGGTGGAACATTGTTAACAACATCTAGATATTCTAGTGGAACTCCCAATATAGGTAAGTATTATCATAGTTTTTGTATGAAATATTGATAAAGTCAAGTAGGGATAAGGGGTAATGGACTAGTTAAGTAAGAGTGTCATGGGCATACGGCTGGGTAAAATATCGTCGCTAGGAATTTATAATTTTGATTATTAATTTTCATAATCAATTAAATATCAAAGTAACATTTTCTCCAGTGTACCTGTCGTAAGGTTAGTCATCCACAAAGTTTTACCTTCAACTCATAACTTACCCACAATAAACTGTAATAGCCAATCTCAGCGATTGTTGATTGAAACCTTGCCGTTAATAATCGATCTCAATTTGGTGATCAATAAACAGATTCATTTCCTTTTAAAACTACAACGCAATTATATTGTCACATTTTCAACTCTGGGTTTTCCCTGGTCAGCGTCTTGTGCTCAGAATCATTCCAGATTCCATGTTTGAGCTGGACTGGTTATTATTTGATATACATTCATTCTTAAGTGAGATGATTAGTCATTGTGTTATTATTTCAGGTCCATTTTTGTCAGCCTTATTTTGTAAGCTGGAAGGAATGATGCAAAATACATTATACTCTAATTTATTATTAACTGGTATTTTATCACAGCTAGCTGCCTATCCTCAACCATTATTACGATCTTTCTTACTCAATCATAATCTAGTCTTCCAACCTACTTTTAAATCTCTAGTTCAGGTAAGTACCCTCAACCATTATTATGATCTTTCTTACTCAACCATAATCTAGTCTTCCAACCTACAGTTAAATCTCTAGTTCAGGTAAGTTTTAATCTAGTCTTCCAACCTACTGTTAAATCTCTAGTTCAGGTAAGTACCCTCAACCATTAATACTATCTTTCTTACTCAACCATAATCTAGTCTTCCATCCTACTGTTAAATCTCTAGTTCAGGTAAGTACCCTCAACCATTATTACGATCTTTCTTACTCAACCGTAATCTAGTCTTCCAACCTACAGTTAAATCTCTAGTTCAGGTAAGTAACCTCAACCATTATTACAATCTTTCTTACTCAACCATATTTTAGTCTTCCAACCTACTGTAAAATCTCTAGTTCAGGTAAGTTTTAATCAAGTCTTCCAACTTACTGTTAAATCTCTAGTTCAGGTAAGTTTGAATCAAGTCTTCCAACTTACTGTTAAATCTCTAGTTCAGGTAAGTTTTAATCAAGTCTTCCAACTTACTGTTAAATCTCTAGTTCAGGTAAGTTTTAGTCTAGTTTTCCAACCAACTGTTAAATCTCTAGTTCAGATAAGTTTAATCTAGTCTTCCAACCTACTGTTAAATCTCTAGTTCAGGTAAGTTTTAATCTAGTTTTCCAACCTACTGATAAATCTCTAGTTCAGGTAAGTTTTAATCAAGTCTTCCAACTTACTGTTAAATCTCTAGTTCAGGTAAGTTTTAATCAAGTCTTCCAACCTACTGATAAATCTCTAGTTCGGGTAAGTTTAAGTCTAGTTTTCCAACCTACTGTTAAATCTCTAGTTCAGATAAGTTTAATCTAGTCTGCCAACCTACTGTTAAATTTCTAGTTCAGGTAAGTTTAATCTAGTCTTCCAACCTACTGTTAAATCTCTAGTTCAGGTAAGTTTTAATCTAGTTTTCCAACCTACTGATAAATATCTAGTTCAGGTAAGTTTTAATCTAGTCTTCCAACCTACTGTTAAATCTCTAGTTCAGGTAAGTTTAAATCAAGTCTTCCAACTTACTGTTAAATCTCTAGTTCAGGTAAGTTTTAGTCTAGTTTTCCAACCTACTGTTAAATCTCTAGCTCAGGTAAGTTTTAATCAAGTCTTCCAACCTACTGTTAAATTTCTAGTTCAGATAAGTTTAATCTAGTCTTCCAACCTACTGTTAAATTTCTAGTTCAGGTAAGTTTTACACCGGCCATGATTAGAACCAATGACTGTCAACATTCGATCAATGTAACCCAGCAAATGAGGTCAAAATTCCAACACTCTAACCAACATTTGACTTGAAATTTTGTGTAAAGAATATAATAACATTTTCACGAATAAATTCTTATAAAATTAAAGAAATTTGTTTTGATTTTAGGTGCTGTCATCAGTACGTCACAAAGTAGATACTTACTCTTACGCTGTTCATAATTTTAGTCAGTTGTTAATGAAAGCGAGAAAGAATTTGTATAATCGTGAAGATTCTATCTTAAATAGAAGTGAACGTTCATTCTCAACCCCTGTTCCAGTTAATTCCAGCCCTGTTCAGACTATACAAACTGTTCATTTACCTATGGACACTCCTTCTAAAGGTAAGCTGGTTACTTTAAAATTTAACGATTGATTTTGAGCATTGGCATCATATCCCTGGAGGTCTGGGGATTATGATCTAAATGAGGGTTGCAAGGATATCCCAGGATTTTTCAACTTGGTTGGACAATGCACTGAATGCATGACAGTATCTGTTTTCATTAACCCAATTTGCAAGATATAAGCAATGAATTGATATTGAATTGGATGTAGAGTTCAATTCTGATAAGAACTATGGATAGCTTAATCATTTATTTTGATGATTGTATGCTTCTATGACCAGAGCTTATTTAATCTTGTGTCTTGTTGACTAAGGCTTACTACGATTATATCCTTGAATATAAACGTGCATGAATTTTTCACTATTTCAGAAAAGAGAAGAATGACATTTACAGATTTGTTATTCCGTAAAAACTCTCCTAAGAGGCCTTCAACTTTAGCATCGACGAAAAAAGGTTCCCAATTACAGCGGGTTCCTCTAAGAGGTGGCGTGGGCTACAGATATATTAACAGTAAACAAACAGAATCTCTCGATAGTCCAGAAGGTACCTTGAAAACCTGGAATGCTGTGTACTGTGCCATCGTTTTGGAGGAATTCTTGAAAGAACTCGCAGCCTTAGCCCAAGAACATGCAGTGTTACATTTTGAGGACAGTTTTAATAGTCGTCACTGACACAAAAATATTGCTTGGTCAACTAAGGCTTTCTGGATTTCAAGACATTTCCTTGTTGTGATTGGCTGAAAGATGTTGAATTAACCAACCATCATAAAGATTGTCTTGTTGGTATTTAGATTTAGATAAACTTTGAGGCTGTTCCATTTATCACATATTACATAGTATTCATTCTATATTTTCACATTTTTAAGTGATATGTATGGCATAATACTTCTGTGGGCTGGCCCAATTTTACTTTAAAAAAAATCTTGCCACCAAAATTCATTGTAAGTGTTAATATTGTGCATTTTATAAGACTTAAAACAAAAGCTTAAAGATGGGTTTCCTTATTTTTTAGTGTCAAATTAAGCAAACTATTTGATTAATTTGGGTTTCTAATGAATTATCATGTATTCTTAATCATATCATTATGTTCTTACTGCATATAATTAACAGTTTTAACCAATCATAAATGTCCTTGAAGGCATGAATGTTCAGTCTTGATAAATAAAAAAAGACCTTCTGACATTTCTTGATCGGTCACTCATTGGAATTCTGATGATAATTCTCTTCTAATTTAGCTAATTATGAATATAAATTATGGACAAACTGGTATTTTTCCAAGTAATTAGAACACCTCTACTTTCTATTCATATAATCATTAGCATTTTCATCTTCATAAATGAAAATAAGGTTTTTTTTAAAAGGGAGTCTCTAGATAGGTTCCTAAGATAGAATTAGAATAGAATAAAGCATAGAAAGGCAATATAGAGGCATACATTTACAAATGCTTGCGTGTTATGCAATGAAAACTAAATTTTCTCATTACAAAAGGATGAATGGAACAGCCTTGGATTGAACTGTACATTTTCAAAATGGTGCTTAAATTAATATTTTTTTCTAAATAGGATTGAAATTGTACATATAGTAAATAAAACTTACAAATTTTCTAATATTTAGCTAAGAAAATAATCTTTTAAAGAATATTTTTCACTATTCAATTTTTTATCGTTATTTTTAAGTGTTTTTAGGAATGTTTTAAACATAAATGACATCTTTTCATATTTTGTTTTTAAAATTTTTAACTTCTAGGACTTGTCTATAGTAAATATATTTTACATTCATTTCTATGCTTTCATTTTGTGTCTCATTTAGTATCTTTTCTTATGCATTTACTAGAATTCTAGAAAATATACAGATTTTATAAGAATTACAGGCAAGCTTTGATATGAGTACATAACTAGGGCCAAATCAAATCATAATATGGACAGGCTACTGTAGGTAGATTAATAAGTTGCTGAAAATTTAAAAGGGATTGTTAATAGTTTTGTTTTAATTTTTTATGTGTATCAGGGACACTGATAGCACCCATTTACACCATACCAATTTTCAATCAGGTGTCTGTGGTTACTGCAGTTCCACTAAAAATAAGTGTTTGATGACGTCACTAATCACGAAGGGACTAATGTGTTACAAGCCTATTTTGTGATTAGTGACGTCATCAAACACTTAGTCTTAGTGGAATTGCAGCTCTGATTGAAAATTGGACACCGATACACATAAAAGTTTAGAACATCTCTTTAAAAGACAGACTTATTGTTTGTTTATTAGTACTTATACCACCTTTAAATAAAGTGGACCGTTCAATCTCCCTTGGATATGCAAAAACACTGTTTCTTGCCTGTAGCATACATAGTGTTCAAAACTTTCTATAGGTAAATGTTCAAAAGCAGTATCTTTCTTAGTCTTAGGCTTTCTATGATTGTTTTTGTACAACTAAGCAAACTAGATATGATTATTATAAGAACGTACAATATATAGTTGTAATGATTAAAGTACTTATTGATATCATTTAATGTTGTATATCATTTGATATTGTATGGTAAGTTTTATATTTAGCTTATAATGTTTCTGATATTTGAAGGTAATAAGTATCTTGTGGATTTTGCTTCATGATGGGATTTTAGCAAATTGACATTGTATTTTCAATTTGCAACATATTTGGGTATATATTAATCACTTAGTTATCATAATGAATGCTGGGTCATAGAAAGATCAATCTTTTATGCAAATACAAAGGTCAAAAAATATCTGTACAAATTTTCTTTAAGTTTGACAGAGTTATGGGATTGAAAAAAGGTTTCCTTGTCTTTGTATGTTTATCAGGAACACTTATTTGGTTTCAATTTTTTTTGAGATAGTGACATCAGAATCAAAATAAATGCTTTAACTGCCTTCCATACAAAGGAAGAAAACTTTACATCATAGTTGAAGATGATTGCATGAAGGCACGATTTTTAGATAATTAGCTCATTATTGCTAATTAGCTATTGATTGTAAGTTTATTAGCTCTTGATTGCCAAGTAGCACACCTGTCCTTTACATCTATTTTGTAATTTATTTTCAAAATGATTCCCTAGATTCTGTGTTAAATGTATATAAGTTAAGTTTTATATGATACATTATCAAAGTTGAATGTTAAATTTTGATAATGTATCTTTTAGTTTAGTCATTAAGTTTTAAATTTTACGTTGTGTATATATTCATGGCCTATGTTTTGGGTTGGAGTATGTGCCATTTAACTTTAATTTAGAAATACGTACAGAACATTAAAAGAACACACCCACTAAGTCCTGTTGGTCGTCATTAGTTCAATTTTGAATTTTAGAAGTTACAGCAATATTCATCATATATCATGAATATTTATAACGAAAATAGAATATTATGCCAAGTTTGTTACATTGACACAATCAGAGATTAAGTGCTTTAAATTATTGATATGAAAAACCTTCATAGTTTCAACAAGATTTTTCGCTTGCTTATCAATGTTTATTTGGTTTTTGTGCATGAATTTAACCAAAATATCAACACAAAGACCATAAGTTTAGCCTACTATTTTGAATTTCATATTTGAATTTACATACAGTAGGCCTACATGTAAAAAAGAAAAATAGTTTTGCAACAAACTTAAGCAGTTAATAGATAACTTAAATTAGATTTATTAGGTTCAATGATTTAATCAGCTTTAAAATTTTCGGTACCGGTATAATAGTTCCTTCAGAAAGCTTTATCAAATCTCTAATGCTTCCAAGTCAAATATTTTTACTATGATATTTTTATGTGTTTAATTCATTTGTCTTTCAATACAGTCTGCATTTCATACATTTGCTCATCATAGCAAGCTTATTTTTGATATGTAGATAGTTGCTTAATGTTTATTTAGAACTGTGTTTAGGTTTAAAATGAGAAGTTTATTCAGCTTGATTGTTGTAAAATTTGCTGTCAACCTGAAGCAACTATAGAATTCAAAACAGAATAAAATGTACTTTTGGTATAGAATAACAAATTTGTAAGCATGTGTATTCAATTGGGTTTACTTGAAGTAAGCCAGATTTGATAAAACGAAAGTAGAGATGCAAAGAGACATTTACAGAATTTGTAGTGGTGCACATTGCTAGATTATCAGTACAGAAGGAAAAAATTAAAATTGAAAATTATTTTTCCCTGATATATCCAAAATGGCAATCTGTACTTCATCTAGTAGCACCTTAAAGTGCTTTTAAGAAGCATAATTTGGTTAAATTATATATTAAGTAAAAATAAACAAATATCTTTTAAGTAAACTTAGATTCTCAAGGATCTTTTTTTCTAACTGATCCTTAGTCAAGTTTCTTAGTTTAGATATTACTTTGGAAGATCCTATATTACGTAGTGTAGAAAGTTTAATAATATTATTACCAATAGTTAATTATTTCTGTTATTATTCATTTAGGTTGTGTATTATATTGTTAAATAAATTTATTATTAATTTATACCATCTTCATATATCACAACATATTCAAACCTTATTTTCTGAGCAATGAATATAAATTTTTAGTGCTACATCTGCCAGAAATTGTAGGATGCAGGAACCACAGCAATGCTTTGAATATGTGGTGCCCCTTGGTTATTGCTGTAGACCATTGTCTCATGGTGAAATGTCCATTTGCTATGGTTACAAATCCTAAGTTTGAAACATTGGATTTTTCTTACCAAAATTAATTTTCAAGTTATCGAAGTCTTGACCTGCTTTAACCAATCAAATTTACTCCTTTTCCAGTTTTTGCATTTTGTGACACGATCAAAAGATGAATTTTTAATAGCAATAGACTATTTTGTCAAGTTCACTTTTCATTGGATGTTCCGAATTGACCCAGTTGAATTTGATTGGATAAAGCAAACGTCACCAGGTAAGGTCAAAAGCTAAAGCCAAACTAGCTAACTTTAAACTATTTAGATAGTTGGAAGTCTTAAATTGGGACAGACCAATGGGGCAAGAAAATCCACCTTGTAATGTTGGCATATAAAAACACCCACTTTTAGTTATATCATAATATGTTATAGAAATAGAATATCACAATAATTTACATGAACACATAATACATTACTGAGTATAACATTATTCGAATCAGGACATCATTTCATAGCAAGAAGAACTGAAAGCCTAGAAAATCAAATTAAACCACAATTTCTTATAAAATACTGAACTTACATTAATAGTTTATAATCTTTCAATGGCATATTAGAAGCACAAGATAAAGATAAATAAGACAATTTTATGGATAGATACTTCTCATCATATAATAAATATACCAGAAGTAGCTATCCATAAAATTGTCTTATTTATTAATAGTTTAATTTCAATCACCGAAATTATATAACTTGATTGGTTAAATACAAAATAATTTACAGGGTTCACAAATATCTCATAGGAGCTGATGCTTTAGTCCATCAGCACACTGATAATTCTTAGATCTTGAAGAGATGCAGTGCTCTAAATATTTGATATACCAGCTGACAGAGCCTAATTTCAGCGTTTTTTTTATTGGGGCGACTATAAATATTGTAAATACGTGTTGGCTAGTGAAAATTGAGCCTTATCACTTGGTAACGCAAATATTTTGAAGAGCATATTCCATTCAGTAATAAATTTTCAGTTTTTAAGTCAGCCATTTTGGATGTCAGCAAAGTTAGGTAACTCTGATGAAATTGTTGACATTGAATCATTGAGTATAGAAGATTGTGGTCGTATTAAAGTAGTCTTTCTGGGTGTGCTTGTCTCAAATTGACTGTTAATGGGTTGAGGACTAACTGAAGAAGCTGAGGAAAGGCTAAAGAATTTAGGGATTGGTCTTTGAAAGTGTCCTGAACTTTGACTGCTGTCAGATTGCCACTCATAAATTGTCTCTTTATTTTGATTCGTCACTATTGAATCCATGGCTTTTGACGGTGCACGTCTTCTGACTTGAGATCCTCGTGGAACTGGTCTAATTATGTTTCCACATTGGGAGGTCATTTTTGGAACAGGTTTTATAATGTTACTGGCTTGTGGAATAACAAAACCATTATGAAAACCATTCCGATTTTGTTGGTCCATTCTACGTTCCTTATTTGGACTTGTATTGAGATCGTTTTGTAGTGTGCTCTCCTCAAATTCCAAACTCTTGCTTTGGCGTCTCTTTGAAATTCGCATATCAGAAGAATTGCGTGATGGATTACTTTGAACAGATGTAGTTGCGCACACCATTGGCCTTGTATTGCGTCTTGGTAAAAAGATGTCATTGTTTGAAGCAGGCATATGAATGTTCACAGTTGAAGAGTCACTTGATAGACTTTTCATTGAAGATAACTGATTAGTAAGTAAGCCAGTCTGATCTACAGAAATGTGTTCACTAGATTCTGCCATTTGAATATTAAAATCTACAAGAGATCTGGACACATTTACAGCTCGAGGTTTTGTGTCCTGATAACCTGCTGTTAATGGTATAGTTGACTTAGAGTGTCGTAAGGATTGTCTTGTATTTTGGGGACTGGAGGTCTTGGAAGGCGAGGACACAGATTTACTAGTTCTATTTTGATGTAAAATTGGTTGTATCACAGTACTAGAAGTGTTAGACATTTCAATAAGAGATGAATTTCTAGATCCTTGGGCTAAAAGAGAAGATGTTGCTTTTGATTGCTGTGAATTGGAAATAGTTTGAAACAAGTTTTCAAAAAGTGTAAGATTGGTTATTTGTGGGTTTTTACCAAGAGATAGATTTTCTGAAGGTGGAAGGCATTGGTCAGCAACCATTGTTTTGTGGACTCTATCTGGACCAATCTTTTCAGCTACTACACCCAATTTATTTCTTGTGGTGGCATTCTGCAGCTTGAATGGTAATCTTTCTTGGGCTTGAGCTTCTCCCATAGGATTAGTACCATTAGTGTTAAAAAGTCTTCTTAGTAATGGCTGTGTTGAGGAAGATCTCCTTGGACTCTTTGTTAGATCAAAATTATGGTTTGTAGTAACTTGTGTCAAATTTTTCTGGACAGGAGGAACAGATTGTAGTCTTTCTGGACTAAGAATCATCACACTTGATTGAGATCTTATTGATGAACCTCTTTTAGGACTTGGGATCAAATCACAAGAACTGCTATTCATTTCATTAAAAATTCTCAAGTTTTCACTTGTAAGGGGTGGGGCTGATTGTCTTACTTGAGAGTCCTGTAGTTTTTTAAAATCATTGAAACTAGCCCGATTGGCAGTAACTTGTAGGTCGCTTAATGCTATAGTACTTCTAAACTGTCTTCCAATCCTTTGTCTTCTGCCAGTTGCTTGTAGATCATTGACACTTGCAGCTTGTTTCTGGTTGACAGCTTTGTGGCTGGGAGATTCTCTAAGTCTCAGTGTGGCTAGATGTGATGATGGAGAAAGGTCAAGATTCTGTAGAGAACTATCAAATGCAGGTGTCTTCTCAGATGATCTATTTCCTGTTTCAAGTGGATTGCGTTCTGGACTCTTGTTGTGTTTGGACTTGATTTGGTTAAACATTGCTAGTATTGACAGAGACTTGGATACCTCTTTCTTTCTATTTTCAGTGGGTTGATTAAATGACATTGCTGTACCAGGTTCATTACTTCTGTTGCATTCTGGTGGAGAAATGATCTTTTCAGCATCAATTGGATCATTTGATGCAAAAAACATTTGAAGATCTTCATTGGAAAAGGTTCTAAATCTTGGTTGTCTATTTGACTTCTTGGGTTTAAGTTTTCTTCTTGGAGTAACTGAACTTTTTGCTTTTTCCCCAGTACATATATAAGACGATTGTAATGCTGAAGAACTAAATTCGCAACTGGTATTATTATTTTGATTAAGGTAAACAGTTGGGCTGCTTTGCTGTTGATCAATACACATGGAATTGTCCGAAAGAACAACAAAGCAATCCCCTGAGTCATCAGTTGTAGGAATGATGGTCACATTGTTGGCAGAACTCTCTGAAACAAAGCCAGGTCTTGGACTATTCATAGTAAATGTCTTGTTTGATTGCTCTGGACCATACAGCTGTAAAGTATTAAATGGTACTCTTTTTCTGGCAGAATGAGTTGGTGGTTGAGGATTATTAGAGACAGATTTATGGATATTGGATTGGCCTGTAGGTTTAACTATATCTGGTTCTGGAAAATTACCGTCATCCTGAAATATCTCTGGAGTGACAATGCTGATTTTGGTAGGTGTAGGACGACTTTGTGGTAAACCATTGACAGTATCTCTAGGATTGTAATTATTGTATTTAGATAGAGAATACCATCTATTTGGATCAAGAGGGTTATCATGTAGACTCTCAGGTTCATCTTTGATAATGATGGGTGAGGTACCAGCTTCATCTTCTTCACTAAGACTGTCTTCATCATCTGTAATTCTGCTACTAGAGCTACTTCCTGAACTTATTGTTTCGGCATCACTTGGCTCATATCCTGGATCTTGAACGAATGAGTTCACCAAATCTGAAATAAATAGATAGTAAATGAATGATGCAAGAACTAAAATGTGCACAAAGAGTGGCTTTTGCTTTATCAAAAAAATCTTTCATATTTTAATTTCAATAATATTGAATTTTTGGTTAAATTTTGAATTGCTTACAGGCTTTTTTGCAGTAACATTTAATTGAAAAAGAAAACCCAAGAAGTTGTCTGTCTCTTGTTCAATACAGATTTGCAGCTACTATAACATACACAAGACAGCATCGAAAATGGAGAGTAACTCTTTAAAAAGTAGCTCACTGGACGATTTCACAATTCTGATAATATCAAAGTAAAAAGTCAGTCATTTTTGGTTGTCCAGGACAGTCCTTAAATTGATTGAAAAAAGTCTCTGCATGCCTTGTTGAAAATGTTGACCAATCGAACCAACTTCAACATTCTGGTGTCTGCTGCTAGACAGTTAGAGAGTTGCCCTCTTCACAAAGATTTGGCAGGCTTTAGATACCTGAGAGAGAAAAATACTATGTTTCGGTCATTATACCTTGTAATAGATCGGGACTTGTTTCATCATATGTTTCTTCTTTAATAATCTCATAATTCTACAATACATCAAACAAAATATTTCCATTGTTAAAATTCCTCAATATATCAATTGTAGAACGACGTAGAAATAATATAACCGAACCTGTTTCAGGTTCTGTTTTAATATTTTTAATTCTATGATATTTACAATCACAGTATTAGTTCTGCTTCACTAATACAGGTATAAATATTGAGCAATTTTTATGTAAAATGATTACTGACCAGCTCTTTAAAATGGAACATTCTGTATAAGCTAGAGTTTTAATTTATGCTATTAACATTATAATATAACTGCATTAATAATAATAAAAAAAATATACTTACAGTGGTTTGAAAACTACACTCGCTTTCACTGCCTGATATAAACCCAGCTTGACTCTCTTCTAAAATAAAAGATAAATATTTAAATTATCACATAAAATTAATTTCTCATAACTGACAAATGGATCTGAAAATAATCAATTAAGTGCTCTGTAAAAAAAAAAAACATCAGGTGAAGAAAATCCATCTCATGTGAATTACAGAAACTGTTTTGCTACATCATTGAATTAAGAAATAAATTTGTTTGAGAACTGAACCAGAGAACTTCAAATCGAATTCGTTTTACGTTCGAAATTTGGGAAAGAACTTTTGAAAGAAATGATTTCTGGTCATTCTTTACCTTTTCTCTTGGTGGTTTTAAGGCGGGTTGTACCAAAAGATTTTTTAGATGATTTTCTTATAAAACCTTTATCTGCTATGATTACATTATCTAACACATCTACAGTATCATCATCTACAAATTCTTTACTGTACTAAATAATAAAAACAATTATTTGTTAGTAGCAAAGCTCTTGTTCCCTGCAGAGATGTTAACATATCCAAAAAATCATATGGCAATGGGTGAACTTTTTAATTGATGCTATAGCTGTACCAAAATCATCTCACCAGCTTCCTTCAAACTGTTAAGAAGTTTAAGCCTAGATATTTTGCTTCTTGGTAACTAAACCCATTGCCTATCTAGCCTATAGATCTATCGACTATCTAGTAGGCCTACTAATATCATACATGTGATTCATGTTGATTATCAAACCAGTACTAATCTGTCTAATTGTCATTACATTAAATTTGTAATAATGTAGGCCCTAATGCACTTTTTTCGGTATTCCTGCCAAGTATAATCCTGTCAAAAAAGTACATAATAATCAAAATCTGAAGAAAATGTTTAGAAATAGCTGTTACCTTCTCAATTATTGCGTTGAAGTTTATTTTGGCCCTCCTAGCGTTGTCTCTTGCTTCTTGAAATACTTTTTCGATTGAATAACCCGCCATGTTTATATCTGTCAGGTTGTACTTGTTTGTTTGTGTACAATCCAGTTACAATATTTCTTTATGTAGGCTAGATCTTATCGACGCTAGATTTTTAAAGCATTTAATATTGAACTCAAGCAAAACCAAATATGTTACATTCTTAAAAGTAATTAATTTTATCCGAATCTTATTCAATTCGCGGAAGATTCGACTTTAATAATGCAGTAAAACTTGTGCACAGAGTTGTCTTTCTTGTTTCCTGAAATCGGTCCGTTGTAAGGTAAGTCAAGTAGAAAAGCTTTCGTCTGAATTTGTTGATATTTTACCATCAAACCTTTCAGAATAAAAACGGTATAAACTTCCCATAAAGTAGAATATATTTAGACATTTACACATTATGTCATTCGCTCACATTTAACTAATCAAGGGGCTAGAATTAGAGGCATGAAATCGGAAGATGTAATCATTCGACCTATCCGACTAGGCCTATATTAATTCATCTTCAGGAAAAGATCTTTTAGTTTAGATTTTTACTGGGGAATTGAATGGCATGGGAATGCACCTAATGGTAACACACAATTCTGAAACTAGACAGAAATATTTGCCTATATTCCAACCCCCGATAGTAATTTTGATAGTTGTCAGCTGGCTGTTTTTAGAATCTTCCGGAACATCCTAAGGGTTTTAAATTATTAATTTAAATTGGACCCGCCAATATTTTTGGAAAGATAGATTTTTTTGTATTTTTCGGATTATGGAATATTCCCATAAAACAGGGCCTAGTTTTTCTGCTTCTACTCCAGTCAAAATATCTATTAGAGGCTGGAATAGAGGCAGATGTTTCAGACTATTCTGAAACGAGGGCTAGTGTCTTTATCTCCTTAGAATGGCCAGCTCATTCAAATACTGAATATTATGAAATATGATGAGTTGGTTAATGCTATTACGTTTGCAATATTCTAAACATTTGGTAATGTTTTAACATGCATTTGAAAATTTTTCTTTGAATTTTTGTTAAAAAATAAACAAAACAAAACTATGTTTGATTTGATTTGATTTGGTATAAATAAGTAGCTTATGTAAACTTATTCCAGATATTATATTGTAATCCATATTTATTTTCAGAATGTCCCTCAAGAAAGTACTGATCACAGGTGCCTCTGGACTTTTAGGTAGAGCAATATTCAATGAATTTAATGCTAATTCAACATGGAAAACATTAGGTTTAGCTTTCTCTAGACCAGGCAACCATCTGAAAAAAGTTGATTTGACAAATTTTGATGAAGTTAAAGCAGTATTTGATGAATTCAAGGTAAAAAAATTATTTCATCTGATGTTGACATGTGTAACTTTTGTTGAAACTCCTGGTGTTTAATTTTATTAAAGAAGTGTGCTTATTCCTTGATATTGTATTGTATTTGTGATTTGCAATCCTCAATTCTAAATGTCAAGTCTTTTCAGACTAAATTATCGGTCTAGTTTTCTAAAACTGATTTGTTTTGTAGAGCCAAATTAAAGAAAGATCCTTGATAATATTATTTTCTTTTTCATTTCAGCCAGATGTAGTTATACACAGTGCAGCTGAAAGACGACCAGATGTAGTTGAAAATCAAACTGATGCTACAAAACAAATAAACGTAGACGCAACCAAAAATATTTGTATATTAGCAGGTACTGAACATATCTAAGATGATTAGGCAAAATGTGATGATCAGAGGTGCTGACATGGAAAAGTGTCTTGTTGTTCTGATGGACAATAAACTTATAATTGGAAATCGATAAAGAGCAGACTTATGCTTCTGTCCAGTCAAAATTTCTCTTAATGCACACTGCAAGGAGTTAACCATCTTCATTAGCCTATTGGGTGCAGAAAACATGGCCATTTATTTTATTTTCTGTTTCGCATATTAGTCAAATCTTGGATGAGTTTTATTTTGTCAAATTGACTCAAAATCTTCAAAATATTGGGTTTAATAAGGATTAATAGATAATCTTTTTCTGTTATTTTAGATGATATGAAGGCATGGGTATTATTTATTAGTACAGACTATGTATTTGATGGTACCAATCCACCCTACGATGTTAATTCGGTACCTAATCCACTAAATAAATATGGTGTTAGTAAATATGAGGGTGAAAAAGTCGCATTAGCCTCTAGTGCAGGTAATAAAGTTATGATAATCTATGCCTTAAACAGACAGACTGGTCTATACCCCAATTATATATTTGGAACCCAATGTTATATGTCTGCTGTTTGTAAATTAGTGCCTACGAGTGTCCCCATTGCCCCAGCACTATCAAATATCTCAAAATAACATAATCTTCAAATGCTTCACTTTCCCAGCACATCTAACTTTTTAAAATAAATAGGCATTAATTCACCTTCTCTCATTGAGATATTATCAATAAAATTTTGTAGTTGTAGTAAAATCTTGTAATGGCCTGGAAATTGACAGGTTCTCCCTTTTTAGGTGTTGATTTGGGTCTTGAATATATGTAAATAGTCCTCAGAAGTACTAGAAATGTACAAAAATCCTTCTAAAATACCTCAAACTATGAATTTCACTTTCAAACGATAATTCTGGATACACATGGATGAAATTTGAAGGCTCAAATTTTGACAGTGATCTGCGAACACAATTACTGTTTAATTTAGCTAAAAAAATCCCCGTTTCTGAGAATAAGGTATGATTGGTCAAACGGTTAGCGAAACAGTCCCATAAAGAATGTGATATTTTTGACAAAAGTTCCCTAATAATTGTAGAAAACAGTGTACTACGTGTACCAATATTATATGGTCCAATAGAGAAGTTAGAAGAGAGTGCTGTTACAGTACTATTTACTAAAGTGAAAGTAACTGATACTAAATGTACTATGTCTAATTATGAACGAAGGTATCCAACCTACTGTCCAGATATAGCTGTAGTCATACGTAAACTTTCTGATGAAAGAATGAAAGTAAGTATTTTTTTTGTTAATATCTTATTCAGACTGATTGATTTTACCATTTGGAAAGCAACATTCTAGCTCAACTGGGTGTTTCTACCTACTGAATCACATGAAAATATATTTCACTTATTGGTCTATTCCAAATTGGGTGCAGACTCTACCATGCACAGTGCAGTAAGCAAAAATTTGATGGGACCTTTTCATTACTTTCTTAATTTTCTGACCATAGAGGGACCATTAATGTGTACAGTTGGGTTTGTTTCTCATGCAAAAACTAGATACCTTCAATATCAGCTTTTTTTGATATCCATTAAGGACAAGTAGAAAAAAATCTGAATGTAAAATCCCAAACTTTGATAGGATATAACCCAAATCTCCAAGGTTAGTGAGCCAGCTGAGCATGCTGAGCCACCCCTGATGACATCTTGACATGTCAATGACAGCTTGTCATCATATATTAGTTATTTTTTTGTGACATACAACATACATTAATATAATATCATAAAATCATAACAAAGTCACATGGAAATGAACAAATAGTGATTGAGTCTTAGTATGATATTAATTCTATTTTGCATTATTTATATCATTATAATATTTTTTAGAATCCTGATATTAAAGGAATTTATCATTGGAGTGGTGATGAGAATATGACAAAATATGACATGGCTGTAGGTATGGCAGAAAGTTTTGATCTTGGTATTGAACATATAGAAGCTGATAATAAATCTTCTCCTGGTGCCCCTCGACCTTATGATGCACATTTAGATTCCTCCAGACTTGATAATGTTCTACAGGTTCCTAGAACACCTTTTAAATCTATTATTAAAGATGTTCTGAAACCATTTTATCCATAGTCAAACTGCTTCTTAAATTATTAAACTTAGTTAAGTAGTAACCCCCTACACATTGAGCAGAGTGGAACAGAGCAGAGACTCGGAGAAAGTGTTGAGGGCACATGTATGTGCACATCTCAAGTGTTGATAGCTAACAGAATCCATGTTTTGTGTATTTATGATATGCCAACTTCACAATGTCAAGCTATTTCATACCTTGACTGTAATAGCAACCTTTCTTGTATCACAGACGTTTGTAAATACAGCGATTTGATTGAATTTTACATTACCGAATACAACCAATCAGACCCCTTGATAGAGAAAGTCTGTAAACCATAAGCCAATAATGCTTACAGTCTTTATGTTGAGGGTTGTGACTAGCTGTATTTGCTAGCGTACAATCCAATCAAATAGCTGCATTTTGTGATACCTGAAAGGTGGGTATAACATTCAAGGTATTAGATGCTGTTCGTAATAGCTTGACATTGTGAAAAGAAAAATATGCTTTTTGCTAGTGAATGAATGCTAGAGCTACACTTTCTTGGAATTTATTGGTCAATTATGATGGTTAAAAAAAACAAATGTCAAATTGCAACACTGAAAGTTGCTCAATCCTGCTCTGCTCTGCTTGTAGTGTTACACCCTTACAACAGATAAATGTTGTACAAGCTTTTTTAGTTGCAGTCTACACAAGTATTTTACTAGGTTGCCTATGCCTAATGTATTTTGATCCTTCTAAAGGTAAATGTTGCTAAGCTTGTTTAAATAGCTTGTAAAGTAGGTAAAGTCATGAAGTTTGGAAACCAGTATTTATAATTGGGTGCAATTCAGACATCTAGTGCCATGGACCAAAAAATAATATTATTTATGTTTTGTACACAGATATATCAATATATTACTGTCTACTTAGACATCACAGGCACAATTTGCTGTATATGTCCACATAGACTTATTCTTGGGAATAATTTCATTCTTCTGTCAGTTTGACAAAATATATTAGTTTTATTTTTCAATTGGCTGACCTGCGAAAATTGAACACCTACTGATTTTACAGTATTTCTTTATCTGTCTACACTTAATGTTTTGAACATTATTTTAACATTGAAAAGGTTCTTTTTGTTAATAGAAATATTAAAACAGAACCTGAAACATGTTGTTACACAGAGATTCACTATGTTATGTTACATATAATTATTTGAGCTTCCAGTTTCACCATAGTTGCTTTCAAACTCTTTATAAACTGTTTTTAGAAATGAAAATTAATGTTGTTTGATTGGAATTGTCAAAAAATTATGTTTTTGCTATGGAAAGTCCAAGCCAATATTGACAATTTAATGTAACGACCTGACCTCCTGATGTGATCTTTATAATTTAGTTCTGGCATCAGGATTGTCTACAATTTAATTACCAAGTATGTCATTAACTATGGTATGATGGGTAGAATAATTTATAATTTTTTTAAAAATTTATTTCTATGTAAAATGGAAATGTTTATTAATATATTATGTGTTAATCTATTCTGTTGACATAGTTGACAACATTATCAGGTTCTGCGTATGTGTATCCTGGACACTTTTAGCTTCTATTAATGTCTATAGGTTGAGATAATAACTTCGGATTTTTCCTGTAAATCATGTAGGCATGGGCTGATATTAAAAAGTGTCTAGTTGTTCGGATTGTACAATAAACTGGGGCTACGTATAATACAGGCTGTGCACCTGAAAGTTGAGAATTTAAAAAGAGCAGGCTAATGCCGCTGTCCTGACAAAATTTCCCCAATGCATATTGTATGGCATTGATGTAGGGCTGCATTCATTGTATTTTCCTTTCATTTCCTGAAAAACCTGTCTAACCTGTGATGTCACTATCTCAAATTCCATTCCAGTCTGAATAGAAAAAATTGAAGCTGTAAGTGTTCCCTGATATAGATACAAAACTCAAAATTCTCTTTTGAATAACTTCAAATGGGTTATTTTTTTCATGCACTGTGCTAGACATGATGCTAGACATGATGCTAGGATGATGCTAGGATGGTGCTATTGATGTTTGTTTACTTAAGTGGACAGTGTTCAATGGTAAAGGGATGATGTTAAAATATTTTCAGATTCAGAAATTTGATTAACTTTAGTGACTGTGTGGGTAAATTTCTAAGTTACAGAAGCAGCAAGATATTTCTTTCTACTATCTACACAATTTTGTAACTTAATAGTAGGTTTTTTCATTAACGTCAGTTTTAGGAGTGTGTCAGCATTTTTATGAAATTCGTAAATCTGCCTACATGGCCACTTGAAGTGATCTTGTTTAAACATAAGCACACTAAAGCAGAAGATTATATTAGTTTAGAATTATGTAGAAGTTAATAGATTAAAAGGTGAGAAAAGTTTATCAAGAAAGCATATCTAGTTTTTCTAAATCCATATGGAATCACATTGGTCAAAAATAACTGAAATATTTAAGATTAATAAGTGTCAGCAAGCTATCAATATGCAATTATGTTATATATTTATGTTTGAAAACCGGTTATTTTGCAATATTGTTATTATGAAATAAACTGTGATATGTGGGACTTGATTTCTTTTTGTTTATCCAATTTTCTAAAGACGAAGGTCCAGGGTTTAATCCTGACATAGGTGTAAATAATACTTTAAGATTTTCCAGCCGTTTTCCCATATCAGTGGTGCAAGTCAGAGGTGCTGACATGGAAAAACATCTAGTTGTTCAGATGTAACAATAAACCAAAGCCTCATGTACAACAGACTGTACACTTTAAATATCCCTCGACAGTTGGAAATTGAAAAAGAAAAGGCTTATGCCGCTGTCCTCATTGTACACTGCATGGCATTGCCCTCTTCATTAGCCCAATAAGGTGCAGAAGAGTAGGACGTAAAACTCCATTCATTTCATTTCATTTTTGCTGGAGACTAAACCATGATGAAAAAAAATTATTTGTGGTCTGAAAATTGATTGATATCAACAGGTTATAAATCCCTTAATGTAGCTTCGATCATCAAGACATAGAATAAAAATAGAATACACTTATGTCTGGATAAACACGACTACAGATATTAACCCCACCATAAAAATGTTACAAGTTTTTGATAAACTTCTGTTCAACATAGCTATGTCATAATGTTTTAATTTTACTGTAGTGAATTCGACAGGAGTTTGGAATAATGTCAAGACGAAGAAAGTGACAGGATTATTTCTGTGGAAGATGAGAAAAGATAAGATATTCAAGTTGATATTGGGTATATTAGCGGTAATTTCAACTCGACTTGCTACAGGTTTGTAGATATTCAATGTAAACAGTAGCCTAGTCGGTAGAGGCTGACTGGCGAATATAAAGTTTAACTCGCCTTCAGTCAGTACTGTTATTGTAATAATATTGTTACACAAACTACCATATCATAAATAATCTCTTTTCAATACTCCTTGACATTGGACTCAACTTTTTGTTAATATTTGACCTGAAAGACCAAGCCTTTAGCCTACTTTTTGGTGTGTCTGAATTAAATTTGCCCTTTATTTATTTTTATGAATTAAATTATAAACTTCAAACTAAAAGAGATAGTCTTGATTTATAAAACCCTGTTCTTTCAATTTGAGAAATATAAACTACGGTAATTTAAAAATTGTGTTTATAGTTTTTACAGATGTCAATAACTTTTAGAATATGTTTGATTTTAATATTTGGATTGATGTAATCATTGAAAAGGAGTGAGCAATATATTTATATTTGAACACAAGAAATAGGTCTCTATATATATATATATACATGTATAAATATTACTCTAAGCTATTGGCTATTGGAAGTCTCAAAATTCATTTTGACATTCTATAATATTGCGTATTGATCATATACTGTCAAATAGGATACCGCTATAAGTTGAAGTAATATTTAAACATATAATATTGACATAAAGAGTAACTTTTGTATATTGCATACGTTAAGTACAAAGGCAATAGCATATCCTGGTTTAGAGTATAAATTAACTTTCTAGATTTACTAGGTCTATAAATCTTTGTTGTTTTTTATGTAGACTATAGAGTTTTTCTCAAAGGATAGCAAAAGTTTGTGTTACGTTACCAGGTCTATGCCTATCCTATTTACTTTTCAATTATGCAATGCAATGAAGTCTTTCCTTTCGTCCTACTTTCTTTCTCCAGAATAGTTGAGGTAATATGTGAGGTAATGTCAATGCTAAGCAGTGTGCAGTGAGGACAATTTTGACATGACAGTATCTTTAACTTTAAGAGTTGAATGACTATGGGATACTCTGACAAGAAGTCCAAAGGTTGTAATCTTCGCAGGTTAATTAGTAAGTCCTGACAAGTCTGTTTAAAAATAGACATGATGACACTATAAAAACAGCTTTTTTAAATTATACAAGCTTAATCACTAAACATTAGTTACATGTAAGGCTCTTTCAAGGTGTTTTATACACAATATGTTAGGATGTGTACTTTGATATTCAGCACCTTTCATCATCAGCGATCAATTATAAAATGGCCGATCGTCAATATTAACTTGGGGAAACTCTGGATAAAAAACCAAAATTTTTAGTCACTGTGTAGTACAATGCACACCCTTAGTTTTGCAAGCCCCTTTTGGTGTAAAAAAGCTGTGCATTATACACACAATTATACAGTATGTGTAAGCTTATGCTCAGACTGGCTTCAATACAGGCTACCTGCAAATTGAAAAGAATTGAAGAAAAGTTTTTGGATTTTGACTCATAAGTTAGGTTGAAGAATGACAATAATTATATAAGATGTACCTCTAAGTGTTTCTCATGGAATAATCTAGAATGGTGTTCAACCCTTTTCTGTTTTCAAGAGTTTACATGTAATATTGTCAGACTTGTTGATAAAACTGACAAGCACTTGGAACTTTCAGGTGACAGATCTTGTACAGACCTGCAGGAATCAAATTCATTGAAAGTGATTTTTGCACATATTATGTGCTGGTGCAATGATAATAGTTTACAGAAAGAAAGAAAAGAATTCATCTCATGTTAAAC